GCTACGTTATTCACGTAGCTGAAGTTGCGTACCTTAGTTCGATTTGGGGGGTTAGTGTAGACCTGGCCTCTTAGAGACTCATCTCTCATACAATGTCACATGAGACTGATGTGGACAGAATAGGCGGGTGGCTTTTCATCCCTGACCATCGTGTCTGCTTGTTCTTGCCTTCCCTTCAGAGTGGCGGCAAGGCCGGATAGCTCGTGTGGTCCTGCAGGATGAAGACATCACCACCAAGATTGAGGGCGACTGGAAGCGGTTAAACACCCTGATGCATTATCAGGTAAGAAACCATCCCTGACGCAGAGCTCCCAGAAAGCAGCCAAGCGGAAGGGAAAGAAAAGCAGAAATTTAATTCCTCGGCGTCTCGTCTAACAAGACAGACAGGGAGGTCACGTTCTTATGATAAACCAGAATGGTTCAGTGTGCTCGTGCATTAGACGAGAAAGCAGCCCTGACACACATCTTACAGAAACTAGCAGAGTTGAAAATTGACTAAATTAAAAATGCCAGCCTCTCTCACCAGATAGACTGGGTATGCAGAGAGAGGACTGCGCTGTCACGGTTAAAGATGTGGGGGCTGCAGAGGGCTATCATGTCAGAGACCCAGGCCTGGAAATGGAAGCCTAATTGAGCGAAAGGGGAGGGCAGTATAGGAAGGGAGAGGGGTTTCTGTCTCTGAAGCATCGTCTATAGGCCACCAGGCACTATGGGGGCAGACTAACCATCTGATCCAGTGAGGCAGGGCACCAAGCTACATGGACGACTAGTCTCTTCCAGGTTTCAGAGGAGCAGCCGTGTTAGTCTGTATCCGCAAAAAGAACAGGAGTACTTGTGGCACCGTACTCCCTTCCAGTTTCTCACTCTCAATCTTCCTACGTGTTGATTCTCAGTTCTCGTTCAGGGGATACCAAAGGCACCTAGTTTTTAGGAACAAGGGGGCGTCGCCTTCACCCTGTGTCCTGTGCAGCAATCGCACAGCTTCAGCATTAAAGACAGTCAGAGGAGTGTGCCGTCGGTCAAGGGAATATAGCCCCAAGCACAGTAAACGTAAACCTGAACATTGGGAAATGTTTCTTAATCGAGAAGCGGTGACATTTGTTATGAGTCTCCCAAGAGAAACATCAGGAGCCCCATCACTGGGGTCATTTGAAACTAGACTGGTCAGAATACTGGCGGAGACGCTGCATCCCACAGTGACCAGGATGGACTACAAGCTTCTTTCCGTCTCTTACTGCTCATGGCTTACGCTCATGACACCAGCCAAGCATAGCCTGCCTTGGGTGAGAGTTGAGCAGCTAGAAAGTGTTAACTATGGTAGGTCAGAGAGAGAGAGAGAGAGAGAGAGATAAAGGTACATACTCAGCCAGGTCCATCTGTCTACCACATGCTGGAATGTTCTGCTGTAGGGGAGGAGGAATGTGTTGGAGTGGAACTGTATCCAACCCCCCATGAAACTGATTTCTAGTTAGTAGAGGCATTGCTCTTGAAGCCCAGTGCTTGGTACTGCACCCCTAATGGACTTTCATTTATCCCCTGTCCATAGCCTTCCTGTAGCTTCAACTTACCTCACAGTAACCCTCCTAATCAGACACTAGAAGAAAGGAGGTTAGTGTAGTAGTACAAGGACACTTCTCTTTCTGAGCAGAATGGTTTCTCAAGAGAAGCAGATCTTTCCATGAGGTACTAGTCAGTTGCCTGTAGAACAGAAACCTTTCCCTTTTTACTTTGCTTGTTTGTTAAAGGTGACTTATCTCATGGCTATTCAGTGGCCTCTCTTTGAAATGAGTTTCATGGGTCTTAGCTCAGTTCCTAGCAGACTGGTGTCCACATCACAGATACGGCCACCACCGTTGGCTTTTAAGTTGGCAAGCACAAATTAGGATTGGCTTGGGCCATGTATCCTGAGGCCCATGTGCTCACTTTGATTGAGCTAGTGTGCTAAAAATAAGTGTAGCTGCAGCAGGGTGGGCTAGATGCCAGAGTATGTGCCTAGGGTCTCAGATGGGATTGTACTCAGGGTAGCTAACTCAGCCTGCCGCCTACATCATTGCACCTATACTGCTCTTTTGAACACTGTAGCGCAATCAAAGCTAGTCTGAGAGTGTTTACACAAGCTGGAAATTACACCCCCAGCGCCAGGGTAGATGTGCCCCAAGACAGTGTGAGTGAAAAAGAAGTGATTAATAAGAGAAGGTGGGGAGGAGCAAGGGAACTTGTGATCAGCAGGCAAGTAGGGAGGGGAGAACCAGTTTGATTTAAAAAAAAATAATCATAATGGGCGCAAGCCTCAAAAGTCCGATCCGAACTTTCCCAAAGGGTTGTTCTGGCCCATTTCTAGTGAAAATAAGCACTACCTCCACAAAGTCATCCCGTCTTTCATATCCGACATTTGTACGGTTCGGAAATGTTCCACTTGTTCTTTCCCTCGTGCGAAGCAATGTTACGCTGAGACCTGAAGACGTAGTGAGCTGTGTGGGGAGAAGTGCAATTGATGTCTGCAGCAGCATTTGCTGTTTCTGCTGTGCGCATCATGCTGCAAACACGTTGCGTGTTAAGCTCCTTTGTGTTCTTTTTAAGAGGCAGCATTGGCTAGTAGACTGAGCATTTTGCATCTGCCACTGACTCATTGTGTGGCCTTGTAATTCGGATAAGATAGCGGAGCTAACACCTCGACTCTGGCAGAAGTGCCATGGCATCGTCAGGACCCATGAGTGGTCAGAATCTTGCTTTAAATAAAATGCCTAGCTCTTGTATAGCACTTTTCATCAGTAGATTTCAAAGCCCTTTACAAAGAAGGTCACTATTTTTATCCCCATTTTACAGATGGGGAAACTGAAGCAGAGCTAGAGATAGAAACCCAGTCTCCTGAGTACCAGTCCGGTGCTCTGTCTATCTACTAGGACATGCTGGAAGTGTTAGCTGAAAGACAAGCCCCTTACCGCTATACTGGGACACTGAATCAAAAGGATCGGTGAATTGCCAACACAAGTGACACAATTCCTGCAGCTCCTAAGTACTGATTCTGAAGGTCTCCCATCCAAGAACTAATCCAGCTTTACTCCTGCTTAGCATGATCATACTTTAAGAGGCTACAGCTGCAGGTTCTAGTTTGTTGGACAGTATCAGCAATCACTTGTTATTAGGTTGATGATTTAATTCCAAGTCTTTCTCTTAATCCCACATTTCTTCATCAGCTCTTCAAGGCAAGATTTTTTTTTTCTGTTTTTTTTTTTAATGACGATAACGTCCCACCTACATCATCATCAGCTGATAATCTTGTCTACCCAGCCATTAATCTGATTTTCACAAGCATCCCCTGTATGGAAAAATCAAATAGAATTTAATAGGAAATGATCAGCTTTCTATAGATTATTTTTGAACTGTGTTATAGAATTGAATAGAGAGCTGTATCCCTGCTGCTGAATTCTGTATGATGGCTTAAAAATACCTGTAGAAAGGGTCTCATTCACTGTTAAATTCTCTAGGGCTTTTAGAAGAATTTCTGTAGAATCATACTACATTTCTGTAGAGCCCTATCCCTGTTAAACTCTGTAGTATATGCTCACACAGACGTACCCAAGAAAAATGAACCACTTGGAATTTAACATCAAATGATTTACAATGGCTTGCGCAGGGTTAACTTGGAGGCAGCAAACCATGAAGAGACATCACTCACTGGGAGGCTGGAAGGGCTGAGAGATTAGAAGACTATTTTAAATGAAAAATTAGCAACAGCCAGGGAAAATTCATATGGAAAATGAGACTCAGACACCTATAGTGGTTTGGCTACTGAATGTCCAAAGCTGTAGTTCATTAGCTGCTCTGGTATCCTTGCCAGGCCATGTCAATAAAAAAGGTATTGGCTGGACAAGCTTGTCTGTTGTTCTCCCCACTCTATTTTTTATCATTATTTTTAAAGGGGTTTCACATGGCATGTTTCAAGCCAGTGGAAGAACCAGAATATTTGTAAAGTTGTAAAACAAAGTCAGTCAATTTCTCGTGTGTCTCCAGGGTTCTATCGGAGTGCGGTGGCAGCAAGGCAGAATGGGAAAGGAATGCGTGTTGCATCTGATGCTAATTTGTACGCTGGCGCTTTTTAGCTGACAAGAGTCATTCTGCCCAAACTTCAGAGAGCGAGAGTGCTCCCTCTGTGTGTGTGGAATTTTTAATACTTCTCTCCTAGTTAACTACAGCTCTGATGAAACCGTATCCAACCACCGCAGCCTGGAAATTATTGCATCTTTGTGTGAAAATCCAGAGCTTCCTTTGTATTCCTTGCACTGGAATGCTTAGATTTCACCGTCGTGAAATTAAACCAAAGTGGCAGCTAATAACAGCCTAAGAAAATAATATCACCACTTGATCGTTCCTTCCAGTGACTTAATAAATTGGGTGAAATCAGGTGGGGGGCGGGAAGAGGGGAAATAACAGAGGTGTGAAGTGTTGTACTTAGCCAAATAGAAATACTTCATTTTTGCTGTGTGTAACATGAAGCCATATTATTATTATTTATTAATAATAACTGACATTTATATAGCTTCTTTCATCCTGAAGGATCCCAAAGCACTTACAGATCATTATACATTAGAGATCATTTTCCTGCAACTAAGGTGGAATGTGCCAGCTATTTTGCACTGGCAGTAGTTGTTAAACTACCTTCAGTTTGAAACTGCAGGGGGAATTTAGGGAGGTGGAATGTAATCATCCCAGTTGGAGTTTGCCTCAACACCACTGTGACTCCACCTATATTCAGGGAGAGTGCTCAGGGTTCCATAGTGACCACGTGTGGTCAGAATCTTGGTTTTCTGTCTCATCGGGCAGTATTGCACCCCCTTGCACCAGGGTTGTCATTTGTTTGGCAGTAACCACCTACAGGCATCTAGTCGTGGATCAGGGCACCATTGTGCTAGCCACTGTACAATCTGCCCCAAAGAGTTCTAAGCCATGCTGCTTGTGTCTCCTCGAATGTGACAATCAACGTAGGTTTAAAGTCTCTGGACCTTGCAAAAATAGGAGTCTTTAGGAGGGGTTAGAATGAGGAGGAGGAGTGCATCCAAGAGGAGGCTCGAACAGAGCTTTGCAGGATCTTGCAGAGGATATGAAGTTCAGACTTGTATTGGGAAGCCACTGGTGGGCTTCAAAGGAGGGAATGACAGGGGCTGATCAAGTGATGAAGGTCATTTTAGCTGCTGCCTTTTGGACAGAATGGACGGAAGAGATAAGGGTCTCAGGGAGCCCATAAGGGATGAGGGGTTGACCAGGGCCCAGGCGTGTGTTTTGGCCACCGGGACAGAATCGAAGGGTCAGATTTTCGGTATGGTGTGGAAAGTCAAGTGGCAAGATGTGACGAGAGCCTGGATGTGTACAGGTAGTGGTAAGTCAAAGATGAGTGTTCAAGGGATGAGGCTGACAGGGAGGGAGGTGGTGTGAAGAATAGTGCAGGAAAATGAAAGTGGGGAGAGGGTTTAGGAGGAAGAATAAGCAGTTCATTTTACCCATCCAAGACAGTTTGTGAGAGAGAATCCGATATGCCGCTTGTCAGAGCAAGACCAGCATGGAGAGAGAAGTTCCAGAGTGATTGGTGGAGAGATGATGGATGAATGGGTGTCACTGCACGAGAAGAAAAGGAGTCCTTAATAAGTTCTCCAGGGAAGCACCTACTCAGACCAGTATCCAGATTTATGGAATAATGCATCCTGGCTGGCAAATTGAGTATTTAGAACTAGGGGACAGATAATTTGGGGTAAGGAGGGGATGTTTTCTTTGTGTAACCCATCACCCTTCTCAAGTAAATCACTGGCTAAGCCCTAGAAGGCACATCAACTTGAAGATACTGTAGGGTTCACTTTCCTATTCCCCTGCCATACTGCATCATAAGGTTTTCAGTTCAGAATTTAAAAAATGCTAAGGTCTATTCCATTGAAATCTGTAGATTCTTAATTAATGAAGATAAGTTAAAAACTTCCAATGACTATTAGATTTATAGGGAGGGTAAAATTAAACGCTGCCACTAAAACCTGCTATAACAGAATCTCGTTAGTGCTAATGTTCATTTATAGTTTGACTTTCCAGCGTTTAATCCTTTTTTGGTGTAATAGAGGGCCCGACAATTTAAGATCCTGAAAGATGGTTTTATGACTTGTTCAGCTGTAAATCAAACTTTTAAAGTTCATAAAAATTGTTAAAATAAAAAATGGTTTAATAAGAGTGTTTTATGGTCCATAACATTATTATAGCTGTTTTATTCCCTTTGCGTTACTACTTTAATTGGATTGCAACAATTCTTGAGATTCTCCGTTTTTATTGGATAAAATGTAATCTTAAATCAAAATGACCAAAAATGTCTTCAATATGTCTTCATTTATCATCCCTTTCCTTCAGGGGCTTGAATCCAGCAGAGGACACAACAAGATAAAGAGGGGTATCTCTCTTGTGTTAAGAAAACAGCAGGCTACTGTGATTCGGTTTTTTCCCCCTGTCGTCATGACCAAGGTGTCATTTTATTAGCTCCCTGCAAAGTCTGGATTCTAAAACTTACAGCCTTCAGTGTTTGCTGCTTAGCAGGCTGTGTTCTACGTTCCAAAGGTGGCATCAGCGGCAGTGCCTCCTGGTGGTCTAATCTCACTCATCCGCTTTCTTCTGTCTCTTTGCCTTACCAGGTGTCAGACCGCTCTGTGGTGGCACTCGTTCCTAAACAGACCTCCTCTTATAACATCCCCGCCTCTGCCAGCATATCTCGAACCTCCATTAGCAGATACGGTAAGGAGCAGGGTTAAGTGCAGGGGATTTAAGTGCTCACAGGCAGCGACCTGACTTTTCCACTGCTAGACTCCTCTTTAGACTCCAGCCTGGAATCATTAGTGGAACAAGCTTTTTGGTCTCAGCTCGTCCTTTTGCTTAGTTCCAATCAACAAGTGAGAGTATTCTTAACTCAGCAGGCAAGACTTTACACACATGGGAACTGGGAATGTTATTTATTATTTGCATAGCAGTATGGGTAGGCATTTTACAGACAATGCCCTAAAGAGTTTACAGTCTGAATAATTGAGCCTGTTAGATGCCAAGTGCATTTATAGCTTTGTATACACAGTAGTAATAATACACCTTCATAAAGGATGGTGGAGAAGTCCCTGACGCACAGGTTTTTTCAGCTCTTTCGTTCTATGTACTGTTTAGCCAAAGAGAGCTCTCTTGACAGACCCACCTCCTTTCCCAGTTTCCTGGCTCTCAAAATCTTTATTCCGAGTACCATCACGGAAGAGTTCTGCAGCGCCATCTGAATGGTGTGAGACCCTCCAGCTAGCAGAACAGTATTATGACTCTGTGCACCATAGCAAGGGTTGTTTGCCACCTATAAAAATCCGTGCAAGTGAGAGTTCTTAGTTCCACTTGTTCTTCAGGTGAAGTGGGGAGGGGACCCAGCTTGGGGAAGTAATGCCAATGCTTATTCATCGGCATCAGGTGCAAGAGCATTTGTGAACTGCAAGTATGCATGATCTTTGCTAATGTTAATATTAATAATTCTAATTGTGCAGACAAAATGCAAATGAGGTTGCAGATTTACTTTCCATATTATGCATCAGTACAGAGCCATGTTTAAAAATAGAATTACTAGATGCTTCCCAGCCTTCCCCCCCCCCCTTTTCTCCCTCGTGCTTTAATTAAATTGGCTGGAATATTTATATTTGTCTGCGTATTAATCAGGGATGAAACTTTACCAACTTTTGTAATAACTGTTATATTTCTCTGTGCTGATCCCCTTAACTCTTTCTGGTGCTGGGAAAGGCGAGTGGACACTTGGGAGGCTGAGTTGGCCACAGCAAAGCAAGCATTTGAGAGAGAGAGATAGTGTGCTGGTTTGATAGTCTCACCAGAACGTTCTGCCCCAGGCCACAGGCTGAATGGATAGTGGGTGGGTGGAGCCAGGATAATACATTTCCTTGGGGAACTGAAGCACCTCGTATCACTAAGCAGTGAGCGGAGTGATTAAGGGAGCACCTTACCCATGCTCCAAAGAGGAATTTATTCCAGCTCCCCAGGAAGGGTTGGGTGTTGAGCAAGGGGGTGAAAGTAAGGGGTGTGATCAGGGCTCCTGAAGGGAAGAAGAGGCATTGGCCACTGTCGGAAGACAGGATACTGGGCTAGATGGACCTTTGGTTTGACCCAGTATGGCCTTTCTTACGTTCCTTCCCTCTCCCAACCCTGCCTGCACAGGGGCCAAAAGGATACAACCACACACTGCAGATACAACCTATCATTGGTCTGCTGTTTAATTCAGTCACTTCTTAATTTGATTTTTTTTATTACATTTGAACCACATCACTTGTTTTAAAAATAACACAGCTTCTGCCCTGTTTGGATTTTGCCGGGCAGCTGGAATCAGACTTACAGAGAGCTGATATTAAGGCCCTGATCCTGCAAACACTCATGCACATGCTTAACGTTAAGCATGTGAGGAATGGCTGTGCTTTGAATGGGACTGCGTGTGAGTAAATCAGGTTAACCAGTTAGGAAGAGTCCCAGAATCTGAATGAGAAGAAAAGGGCTCATGGAACTCTGTGACAGTAACAGATGACTGTAGGGAAGAGTTGTGTGCTAGCCACATGTTGTTACTGACACTCCCCAAGTACTCCCTTGTGTTGTGCAGTCTCTGTTTCATTTCATTTTTCTTATTTCACACACATACATGGACCTGGACTGGAGCAGAAGGTAGCGGGGGGGAGAGATACTGGGAGGAGGATAGAGAACATGGCGTTTGAAACTATAATAAGAGAGTCTGAGCTGCTCAAGTTCTCTGAAATGACACAGTCACCTTGAGGAATGTGTATAAAATAAACTTGCCAGATTTTAAAGGTATGATGTCATGAAAAAGTGTTCAAAAGTGCGCTCCTCCCCCTTACAAAGTCATCACATGGACATAGTTACCCACTCCCAGTGGTATCTGAGATACCACCAGGCTTCTGTGTCCTTGCCTAGAAGGCAACATCACCACCAGTGCAAGCTGTTGGAATGATGACCCAGCAGATGTAGAGTCAGCAAACAGGGGCGGCTCCAGGCACCAGAGCACCAAGCGCGTGCCTGGGGCGGCAAGCCGCGGGGGTGGGGGGCCTGCCGGTCCCTGTGAGGGCGGCAGTCAGTCTGCCTTCAGCGGCATGCCTGCGGGAGGTCCGCCGGTCCCGCGGATTCGGTGGCAATTCGACGGCGGGTACACCAAAGCCACGGGACCGGTGGACCTCCCGACAGAAACGCCGCCGAATCGGCGTGACCAGCGGACCACCCGCAGGCGCGTCGCCGAAAGCCGCCTGACTGCTGTGCTTGGGGTGGCAAAACACATAGAGCCGCCCCGTCAGCAAAGGTTAGTACTTACAACAAGAAAGCAAAGGTTTGTTCAGCCCTGGGTGCCCAATCTGATGATCATAAAGGCAGCCTTCCACCTCCCTCTCTCAAACAGCCACTCTCCTACCCTTTCCCCTGGACAAGGGGCTGCTCAGCTGGAGTTAACCCCTTCCTCACCGGAGACAAAGTCCTGCCCCTCACTCTTCCCTGAGTGGCCGCTTGTGGCAAATGCTGCTTTTTTTAAATGGTGTCTGCAATGTATTCTATCTAATTGCTCTGCAAATAATCCAGTGAAGGGGGGGAATCTACTAAGGAGAGGCAGAGGAGTGATAGAAGCTGCTTCCTTTGGACATCACCAGCTTCTCTTCCCTTCTGTTCAGATTCAACATTCCGGTACACCGGCAGCCCAGACAGCCTCCGCTCCAGGGCACCCATGATCACCCCTGACCTAGAGAGCGGAGTGAAAGTCTGGCACCTAGTCAAAAACCATGACCATGGAGACCAGAAGGAGGGCGACCGGGGCAGTAAGATGGTGTCTGAGATCTACCTGACTAGGCTCCTAGCGACAAAGGTAATCACTATGCACCAGAGTCTGCCTGGAAAAATGTATAAATAGGCCTGTAAAGACACAGTGCTCAGCCCCTGTCTCAAGCCTTCAGTGTCCGTTAATGAAGCCTTGCGACCTGTCTGTGAATTGGGCATTATTATCCCCATTTTACTCAGGGGGAGTGGGGGTGCAGAGAGGATAAATGTGCCTGGAGTTACGGAACAATTCCATGACAGAGCCAGAAATAGAGCCCTGGTTTCCTGGCAATCGCTCCTAAACTTCTAGATGCTCCATCCTTTCACCAGCACTAAAGGCCACTAAAAATTGCAAGGAAGCTACCATGTCTGTAAATGCTTTACCCGTCTCCTCAGCCTAGGGAATCTGCAATCCTTTTGTAATGCCCTCAGCAATGGTTATAGCCCAGATTGCATTTCAGAAGCAAAAGAAAAGGTGCTTAACATTAAGAATAAAATCAATGTGCCTCAGACGTGCAGCCAGCCCATTCCTATAAGGTTACATATACCTTACGTATTCCTATAGGGTCTATACCTATACCTTTCTGGAGCTGTGCATAGCCCGTGTCACCATCTGGTGTCCCCTCCTGCTGTTGCTGTTTAGCCGAGTGTGCATACATCCCTCCCATCACCCCGTTGGTTGCTGCTCCCATTAGGGTACGCTGCAGAAATTCGTGGATGACTTGTTCGAGACCTTGTTCAGTACTGTGCACCGAGGCAGCGCGCTCCCACTGGCCATAAAATACATGTTCGATTTCCTGGATGAGCAAGCAGATAAGCACGGCATCCACGACACAGATGTGAGGCACACCTGGAAGAGCAATTGGTAAGAGCATGGGGAGTGGGGGTGGACCCCACTGTTGAGCAATTATCCACAACCTGGAAAAGAATGGAAACACGGGGATGGGGCTTGGAGCGGGAGGAGGAGGGACATCGTCTGTGTAATTGGAGGCAGCTCAGAGTGCACGTGTGCTTCACAGAATAAACCTGCTGCTGCCACACCTCCCTTCTTTCCTTGTCAAGGAAGATGCCAGCATAAGCTCCTTTGTGCAAAACCCTGCCCCTGTCCTTCTGTCTGGGAGTCTCAAACCTGGTTCTTTTCATTTTCAGTGAACTTTTGCATTTTTTGCACTTAGGGTGATTGTCACATTCTGGCTGCCCTCAGATATAATGGAAGGAGGCACCCCTGATATAAAGCTTTGCTAATACTCTTCAATCCAAACCTCCAGTACCTGTGCCGTCCCAATTCTGGGACCTCCTTGCGGCTGTGACGACGTACTTCAATTCTGACCTGTTGTGATTCAAATCAGGAACCCCCACCACACAGACAGGTCTGCCAGTGCATCTCCGTCCTGGCCTGTACACCAGCTCCTGCTGTTGATCTCCAACCTCAGAGAAGCTACAGGTTATTGACAGTGCCACAAAGAGCTAAATTAGCACTGAGAATTAAGCAAAGCGTTCCCTGCCTTTTCATTTCCAACTTAACCAGATTTTAACAGATTAATTTTTCTACGTATGAAGCATCCAGGAAACTGCAAACTGCCTGTTAAATTATTTAGGGGTTATTATAGGATAAACTAATACCACTCCTACAAACCTTTTTCACCTCACCACTCAGACAAATGTGGTTTTGAGTGTAAATTCCAAACCCCTCCTTTCATTCCAGGGGTAGGAATGATTAATTGTTGTTGTTTGTACTCCAGTAGTTCCTAGAGGCCTCTGTATACACAATAAAATCTAACTCCTGCCCCAAAGAGCTTACAGTCTATATAGACAAGACAGACAACGGAACAGTGGCAAAGCTGGGAACTGAACAAAGGTGTCTTGCATCGCAGTCCAGTTCTTTAACCCCAAGACCACCCCTGCCCTCCAATAATGAGAAGAGGAGATTTTGGAAATGGCTGGGTTGTATACAGGCAGGTAGTTAACAGCCATACTTTACATGTATGATATTACCAAAAGGGAAATGCCTGCTACTGCTCAGAGGTGACAGTTCAGTTACCAGCTGCTCCTTCCCAAATGCTTCCGGAGCCGTGCTCCAGGGAGCGAGGGAGAAGGGAAGAGAGAGCAGATGAGTGGAGCTCACACTTAAACTGTGTGCAATTGACACAAACTGCAGCTTGGACTCAAAGTTCTCAAAACAATTGGAGCTATTACATCTTTGCCTTTGCTGTTATTTTAGGATTAAAAGCTCCGTGGGTTAGAAATTTACCTCTGGGGTCGGGGGTGGGGAATCCATAACAAATGGTAGCCCCCTGAAGATTTTTTATTTTTTTTCACCAGTCCCTCGTGATTTAAAAAGCCTCTAATCATCATGTCTGCAAAAGCCGGATTCCCCGCTAAGGCTGTAGGAAGCTAAAAACAATTTATTGAAAGCTTTAGAAGAAGGAGCTATTAGGATAAAATGTTTGAATCCTGAATAAAATGATACTTCTTAAAGCTATAAAGGGAAACGGTGTCGAACAACAAAGATTTTTCTACCACCGCCATCAAACCACATGGGTTCCGGCTGCTGATGGGGACCCAGCCATTGTACAGCTTTGCATACAGGAACAAAGGAGGAGTCAGGGCAGAGGTGTAAATTCTAGTTTTCAAACTAATCATTACATTGAGCCTTCACTGTGTCTTTACGTTTCCATAGCGCTCTCCAAACATTAGTGAGTGCTTGCTATGCCCCTAGGAGAGCGCCGAGCATTGTCAGACAGAGCAATAGAGGCACTGAGAGGGGAAGTGGTTTGTCCCAGATATTACCAAGGTCAGCGCTAGGGATGGAAGTAGGGTGACCAGACAGCAAGTGTGAAAAATCGGGACGGGGGTGGGCGGGTAATAGGACCCTATATAAGAGAGAGCCCCCAAAATCGGGACTGTCCCTATAAAATCAGGACATCTGGTCACCCTAGATGGGAGTATCACTCAGGAGTTCGAGCCCTGTGCTCCATCAGCTAGAAAAGGACCAGGCATGGCTCCTTTGAGAAAGGAAAGGGTTAAGTCTCAGACCACATCAGATCTCCTGGAGGAGCCCACCTGGAAACTGAGAGACTTTAGTAGCTGGGGTTGTAGACTCAGGTCACCTGTTAGAAGTAGCAGGAGAGCTGGGAGGGGTGCAGGGTGAGATGTGAGGGAAGGGGGGTATTGAGAACAGGTGTGAAAGCTTGGAAGAGGGAAGGCGGTTTAGCCAACTGAGGGGGGTCTGGGAAGTAGCCGGAGAGTCGGTCAGCATTGGAAGCAGTTCAAGGCTATCATGCAAAGAGCAGCGATTGGGAGCATGTGGAGGGTTGAGGCCACTGACAAGAGACTCTGCTGTGCGTTGGCATTGAGCAACTCATCTGCAGTGCTCCAAGGGTTAAGGCGGAAGCCTTGGTTGTAGCTAGCTGGCTAGCTAGGGAGAGCTGGGACTTGAAAGCTAACAGAAAGCAGCAGCTGGTTTTTGATCCTGCTACAGAGCCAAAGGAAAAGGGAAGAATAATTCTCCTTTGATTACCAAGGCCCAGGATTTGGGGGTAAGGGGAAGGCAGAGATACCTGATGTGCTCCTTCCAGGGTGATGGGCTGGGAACAGGCCCTGGATTCTGCTCACTGCAGGGACTCTAGTAGCACCCCAGCTCCTCACCAGCTCAGTGCCACAGACCTTCGCTCTAAAGAACGCTGAGATACAGACTAACAGACTGCACTTGACCTCCCGAGCCCCCTGGATCACCTCATAAACCCCAGCACCCAACACTGGCAAATACTGGGGGCTCTCCTAAAATGGAGAGTTTCCTCTCTGCCTTACAGTACGGTTCCTGCAGTCCACTTGGCTTCAGCACCCGGGCCTTTCTGGCTGCCCCTTGATGTGGAACAAGACCAAGTCAAATGGCAGCCGCTCCAGAGTGGGCAGGGTCAGCAGGGGCTGGGCCAAGGGGTGGCTGGAAAATCAGAGAAGAAAAGTGGCCACTAGCCTGGCCCAGATTTGGTAATGAGATGGGCTCAGCTCCGCTTAGGGTACCATTACGGACTGTGGGGCCATTACTGCCACTTAGTGCTTATAGCCATGAGCAGATCATTGCGGGACCTGAAATACATGGGAAAGAAAGATGCCCTCCTGTCTCTAGGGTTTGTGACTTACTTTTATTCCTTTGTTTTCCTGCAGCCTCCCTCTCCGGTTCTGGGTGAACGTAATCAAAAACCCCCAGTTTGTGTTCGATATCCACAAAGGCAGCATCACAGACGCCTGCCTCTCTGTCGTCGCCCAGACCTTCATGGACT